TTTTTTTGCAAGGTGCCACCCAGTGCCAGCTGTGCCCGGCTGGGGGAGGGGGAATTGCCTGCTGCACTGGCCCACCCCTGCTCCTTGGTGCCCAGCACCTTGCTGGCATTCAGGGTTTGGGGTTTTTTTACTAAAAATAAGCAGGTTTGGGGAAGAATCTTAATTTTGCTAGAGAGGACTCAGGGCTGGCAGCCAGACCTGAAAGAAGGAGGTGGGTGAAAAATGCTCTGCGGGGGAAACTGCCCAACAAACCTATTCTTTTTGCCCAAAAAAAAAGAAACCCCAACACCAACAACACTGTTTTACTGTCACAAGTGCTGCCTGTGCACATAAGGTCCCTCCTGCCTTGTTCTGGTGGGCGAAGCAGCTTTGTAAGGTTGGGGCAGTCCCTGCAGTGCATGTCCAAGCCCTCGTTGGCATCTGGGATGCAGGAGACCCCCCTCACTGGCTCCTTGTGGAAGTGAAAAGCCAACTGTTTCTGTAAATTAGTGGGAATCAGAGGAAAACATGGTTTTGGAGCAGCGCTTGGGCAGGTAGCTCCCTGGAGAAGCTCAGGGCAGGAGGTGGATGAGAGGTGGGAGGGAGGGAGAGCTGAGGATCACCTGGATACCAGTGGGAGGCTGGTGATGGATAAGAGCACCCGCCCTGCTGACCGCTGCATGTCTCGTTGTGTAGAGTACTCCATCCCTGTCCACAAATACTACTTCCCCTTCATCTTCCTCCTGGGGATGTTCCTGTGGTCCCTGCTAGAGTACCTCATCCATCGCTTTGTCTTCCACATGAAGCCACCCGCTAGTAACTACTATCTCATCACCTTGCATTTCTTGCTGCATGGGCAGCATCACAAGGTGAGTCGCGGCTCCCGCCCCCGCTGGCGCCCGCTGGGCTGTGGGGATGGTGGCCTTTGCTCCGGTGGAGCCTGTTTCTGCATGGCCTTTGCCCAGGCAGAGCCTGTTTGTGCCTGTTCGCTGGGACTGGTGGCATCCAAGCGGGGCCCTTACCCAATACCAGCGAGGGCTGCAAGACAGGCTCGGAGAAGCTGCAGTTAAATCTGCAAGCTCCAGCTGGGCAAGGGGGAACACCAAAAAAGCTACGGCTCCCTCTAGCTTTGCTGGAGGAAATGTCCCTGTGGAGCTTGGGGACCTGTAGTTAAAGCCACCACCCGCCTGGCCCTCTTGGCATGCATGGGGGGCTGCTCTTGCCACTGGGTCCATCCTTGGGGAGGATTTTTGGTGTTGACTTCTCCCAAATGGGCTTCCCCAATGCTTGGCAGGGATGTTCTGAGGCAGGGAGGGTGAGCCAGGAGCTGCCCGTCCCACCGTCCCTCTCCGCTTCCAGTCTCCCTTCGACAGCTCCCGCCTGGTCTTCCCTCCCGTGCCGGCCTCGCTGGTGATCGGCTTCTTCTACGGCGTCCTGCGGCTCCTGCTGCCCGAGGTGCTGGGGCTCTCCGTGTTCGTCGGGGGGCTCTGCGGCTATGTCATCTATGACATGATGCACTATTACCTCCACTACGGCTCGCCCAGAAAAGGCACCTACCTGTATGGCCTGAAGGCTTATCACGTCAAGCACCACTTTGAGCACCAAAGATCAGGTAGCGCCCTGTCCCCGCCCTGTGCGTGCCGGCAGGGGCGGGGGCTGTCAAAGCCCGGTCTACCCGCACGTGTGCCACTAACGCTCCAAAATATTTGGGATTTGGGATTGGGAAGGTCAAGCACCGCGCTGCTGGGGAAGCGGCGTGTGAGGTGCTGCAGCCCATGGGGCACATTTCTTGGCCCCCAGGTTGAGGATGTGGAGCCAGAGTGGTACAGGGTGAAGGCAGCAGCCCGTGGGTATTAATGCCACTGGGGATGCCAGGGTGGAGGCCAAGCCTTCATGGAGCTGGAATGTGGGTGCCTGTCCCATCCTGGGGCAGCATCTCTTCCTGCCAGGAGGCAGGGTGAGGCCCTGGGCTTCCCCAGACCCGCCCCAAACCTTTCCCAGCCTGGCGCTTGCTCAACCTGCCCTTTGCCCGGTTTCCTAGGAGAAAACGCCCCATCCAGATAAGCTATCATCCATGGGCCTGGTGGCATGGCCCAACCAGCTCCTGCTCCCTCTGCTCTTCCTCCTTGCCCTCACCCTGCCTTCCTCCCTCCTCAAAACACAGACACTCCTCCCTCACCGGTTAACACAGAGCCCTTACAACACCCCGGCCACGGTGGTGCCGTGGGCTGAACACTCTCTCCCCTTGCCCGCAGGCTTTGGCATCAGCACACGCTTCTGGGATTACCCCTTCCGGACACTCATCCCTGAGGAGACCTTCAAGAAAGAGGACTGACAGCCCCAGCATGGTGCCTGGCTCCCAGCTCCGTCCCCCCTGGGCTGGGGCCGGTGTCCCTCCCCAGCCCTTGGCAAGGCCAGCTGGTCCCTGCCCCCTTCCTGGGGCTGTGCCACAGCAGTGGCTCCACACTGGACCATCCTTCCAGAGTGCTGTGGTCCAGCTGTGGCACGGCCAAGGGGATGGGGGACTGAGGGTGTGAAGAGGAAGAGGTTCTGGGGCCCCCTGGGGGGCTCCTGCCCCTCCCTTGGTGCCCTCCTGCTCCAGGCCATGGATGCACAGGCAGATCTGCTGCCTGAGAGATGAAGTGCCTGGTGGTGCTCTCCGTCCTCTGCCCTGGCCCCTGAGGCCCCTGTTCCTCCCAGAGTGCTCTCCCTCTCCAGGGCTGCAGTTAACCCCATCCCCTAACTCCTTCCGAGGGGATTCTGTATCCTGGGTCCTTCTCCTGGCCTGATCTCAGCACAGGGTTTTCTTGGCCTGCAGCCCTTTTGGGGGGTCCTGCAGGTCTGGATTGTGCCTTTTTCTAACCAGTGCACCCGTATCTCTGCCAGATTTATCAAGTTCATGGTTTTTGTAGACATTGGCTACTTGAAACTCAAACTCCAATGAACAGAATTATTACGAGATGCCTTTTTTTGCTGATCCTGTGATTTTATTTTTTATTATTTTTTCCCTAATGTTTACTGCAGATATTTAAAGGTTTGGAATAAATTTATATGTAAAACTTAGACACTACAATTGTAAATAAACTGTATATTTTGAAAAATAAAGCCTTTTAGAAGAGTCCGACAAATATATCCCCTGGGGCTACTCCCATGTTCTCCCACACTTGGTGCATCCCTTTCCAGGTGCTGATGGCCCTCAGTGCCACTTTTCTTGGCTCCCCTCACCAGCCACAGTGAGGGAGGAGCTTTACGAGGAGCATCAGCAACAAACTCGTGTGGCCCCAGACTCGGGTAAGCAGAAGCTGGCTGAAGTTGCCACTCACTTCCCTGAAATTGGGCAAGAGTGCTTCCTAAAATCAGCCTGGCCCTCTGACGAACCCACATGCAAAACTTCCTGTGCTCCCAGCAGAGGTCAAGCGCTATTTCCAGCACTGGTGCCCACAGCCCCCTTCCTTTGGTGCTGGGGGGTCCTGGGGCTGCAGGGGTAGGGAAGGGAGCTCAGAGGACCAGCACCCCTCGTTTGGGACGGGTGTGCTCCAGAGGGTCTCACTGCAGGTGTGAAGGAAGCTCAGCAGGACACAGAGCCCCTGTTGTGGGTGTTACAGTGCCCTGGGCGAGCCTTCTCACAGCTGACAGCACAGCAGAAGGGGTTGGGGTGCTCAAAATAGCAGCAAACATCGATATGAGGGGCACAGCCTCCCCACCCCTTCCTCCAAACATACTTCCCATGGGCAATTCCTTCTTCCACCAGGCAAAACCCAGCACAGGGGCCTCCAGCCACTGGGGATACCCCAGGCAGCTTTCTGGGAGCAGGGGGTTGTCCCAGTGTGGGAAGCTGCAGGGGGTTGCACAATGTCCCTTCCGCTGCGTGGCAGCAGTGGCGGGGAGAGCGCCCTATAAAATCCTTCTCCTCCTGCTGTGCCTCTCCAGTCTGTGGAGGCAGCCAAAGCAGAGACCAGTGGAGCAGGACCAGGTAACAGCTCATTTCTTCCTTGGGGACTGGGCTGGAAAGAGGACGGGAGAGTGGAGCTGGTTTCTGGGTGTGTTCCCATCTTGTTTCCCGCCGGTAGCGCCTGGCACCCCTCTCTTAGCCCTGGCTGCATCAGTGGTGTGGGTGGCTGCTGATAATTTCCCTGCAACAGGGGTGGTTTTCTGTCTCTGCTGCCTGGATGTGGGCTGGGGAGCAGGGACCATCCCTGCGGGGATGTTGAGAGCATAGAAAGAGTCTGATTTAAAATCTTAAGTGGGAAATACAGGGCTACAGGGAGAAAATATGGAGAAGCTGGGGATGCTGGGTGCAAGCTTTCATTAGGTGGGTGACAACAGAGGGAGATGTTGGGTAGAAATGAAAATGGATCTTTATGGTCAGTGATGTAGGCTCTGTGGGCAGGATCCCAGGGTGATGCAGGGCCGGAGCCTGGGAGTGCCGCCCTGGGAATGCTCCTTGGGTCACTGCTGGCCTCACTCCTCTGGGTGTAAGCTCTCTGGGATGGCTCACACTAAATTAATGTACCTAAATCAAGCTAAAATCTGCTAGTGCAGAGCGGGTGTGCCACTCCTGCTGGTACCCGTGTCTCTGTGTGTGCCTGCTCTGGTCTGTACGGGCAGCTGTGGTGCCAGGCCAAGCAGAGGCAGCAAAGCTGGAGGAGGTGTAAGGGGCTATGGGGGACCTCGAGGGTGGTGTCCCATATCAGGGCTGTTCCTTAGGGTGGAAAGCGTGGAAGAGCTGCATCCAGCGAACCTCCGAGCAGCACCTGAGGCTCACCTTCAGCAGACGCTCCCAGCCCACATCCCCACGCCCCCAGGGGCCAAGCCCTTTGCTGCCAGCATGGACATCGTGGAGAGGGTCCTCTCCGTGGCCCAGGCCATCCACGCCCAATTCGAGCAGGTGAAGTGCTGTAAGCACCAGTGCCAGCGCCTCGTGGAGCGCATCCAGATCCTGCTGGAGCCCGTGAGGATCCTCAGGGCTCAGCCACGACAGCACATCTCCCACCACGAAGAGGAACTGCTGAAGAAACTGCTCCGGGTCCTAGGGGAAGCTGAGAAACTGGTGATGAAATACAGCCAGACCAGCTGGATCCAGAAGTTCCTGCGAGCCCGCAGCACTGGTGAGGAGTTCGTCTGGGTGAACGAGAGCCTGGAGGACATTGCCCAGGGGCTCTCGCTCCTGCTGCAGGCGGAGCAGAAGCAGGCTTTCCTAGAAGTTTTCCAGGCAAAGACATGTCGCAGGCAGGATGCTGAGGACCTGAGGGATGACAGGGCTTTCTTGGACCAGGTGATTGCAAGTAAGTGTGCATTTAGCAAACCCTCTTTCCCTGAGACCAGAGGCTGGCACCTCTCCCCAGCTGCTTCCCAGCTTTGTCTTGATTGCCACGGCCACGGAGAACCAGAAGGACATTTAAACCATGAGAAAAACTAACCACATCAGTCCTGCTTGTTCATCCAGTGGCCCAACCTGTGCATGTTTCTCTCCCCAGGTACTGAGGAACCTGAAGAGGTGGTTGAGGAGATCTACATTGGCAGTCAGTGTGTGGAGAGCAAGGTAGACTGGATGCAAAGGGAGCTGAACAAAATCGTGCGCGAGATGGAGCGTAAGTGGTGTCGCAGTTCCTGCACCCTGTGCACTGTGTCCTTTCCCCCCAAAGCCCTGCCTAACGAGTCCCTCGTTCCCTCCCGGCACATGGTGGGAGCAGGCTTGAAGAAGGTCAACGTTGGTAAAAGAGAAGATATCACTGAGATCAAGCGGGACCACCTCACCCTCTACAGGCACCTGCAGGACACCGAGAGCTACGACCTCTACGAGGGCGAGTACCTCAAGTACCCTGTTGCCATCAAAACCTTCAAGAGGCCACTGACCACTGACCCAGTGTGAGTTGTCCTGGGTGGGAGCAAGTGTGCCACCTGGGAGGGTGGCACAGCACCGTGTCATGCCTTGTTCCAGGGATCTCACCATGCTGTCCTTTTCCACAGGAAGGTGAGAGACATCTTCGAAAAGGAGGTTCAGACCCTGAAGAAGTTTGAGTCTCCAAACATCCTGCGCATGTACGGGATCTGCATTGAGGAGAACGGTAGGGGGGTCACATTAATGTCACCCTTTTCCTCCCCTGCCTGCTCCCAGTGGGAGACAGTTTGCCGTGGTCCCCTCCCAGGAGGTGGCACAAGGCAGGATCCTTTTGCCCTGCAGATGGGAGCCCCTGCTTCTCCATCGTCATGGAGTACTGTAAGCACGGGACGCTGCGGGATGTGCTGAACACGCAGCAGCATCTTGGCTGGGACATCCGCATTCGGATGGCCCTGGGAGCTGCCAGAGGCCTTTACAGGCTGCACCAGACAGGGGAGAAATCCCGACTCCACGGCTGCATCTGCAGCAGCAAGTTCCTGGTGGCTGGGGATTACTGTGTGAAGGTAAGCCACACATCTGGAGAAGGTTTTGGGAGGTTTGAATGGTTTTGTGGCTGTCTTCCTCCACCAACACTGAAGGGAATTATGACAGTCCAGAATAAAACTTGGAGTAGAGCCAACTGCCCTATCACTTTAGGCACTTAAACTTGCCTGTCTCAGTCTTATCATCAGCAAAGTGATTGCTCCTGAGCCATCCACCCTGGGATGAGCTGAAGCTGGAGCAAGTCACCTGCCTCCACCTCTGGTTTCACTTGCAGAGAGAGCCACGTGCCGGGCTGCACGCGTGGCTGCCTGCCAGCCTTTGCTGCCCAGGGCATCTCGCTCTGTTTGCTCCATCTTGGGGCACTCCCCAGCTGTGCCACAGGGGTCTACCACTTCTCCCTCTCTCTCTCATTCTCTCAATCAGTTGTCAGGATTTGAGCTGTGTGAAACAGAGTCATCCATCAAGAGGAAAGCCAAGAAGAACTGGAAACAAGTCTATATGCTGGCTTACATCGCTCCTGAGAACATGAAAGACATCAACTACCCCTACAAGAGGCCCTGTGAGATATACAGGTGTGTCTGTCCCTCCCTGGAGAGGGGCCTGTGAGCAGGCATGTCTCTGGCAGAGTAGCTGTTGAGCTATGGAAGGAGGTCAGGTTTAATTGGACACATAAGCCCTTGTTTTCTGTTGGCATAGCCCAATAATCCTCTCCATTAGAAGGGAGGAACACACGGTAGAATGAATGCTGAGACTCTTGCTTATCTCCTTCCAGCTTTGGGATCGTGCTGGCAGAGATTGCAACGTCCAAAATCCCATTTGAAGGTGAGACAGAAGTATCTGTTCCCTGCATAAAACCCACACAGCACAGTGGGGTTCCTGTCTGGCACTGGATGCTCCCTGCCCCTTCCCTGAGCATCCCACGCTGTGCAAATCCAAGTGGCAGTGCCTGGTGTGCCTGGCTCTGCACAACAGCTTCATAGCT